TGTTATATGCTTGAACTGTTTTATATCTATAGATTTTATTTTAGGCAAGTCCTGATGATTTGAGAAGGCTAAAATTTAGCCGCTAAATTGATCAAACATAGGCTCACTGTCTGCCGCTGGCCGCTTGGTCGTTTAAAAAAACAAAAACTTATATTTAACGAACAAAAAATGCTCCAAATGTTTTTCTAAATTAACTTAATAAAATAATGAAACAAAATATAAGCACTTTGCCATTACATACAAAACTGAACTATTTTAATAGCTGAAACAGTAGTATAAACTGTTTTGGGAGAAGGTGGAAAAAAAGATGGGCTCGGGCCATGTAATTCTGATAAGCTGTCGGACACGGGCCGGGCTAGGGCCTGAGCGTCTCGGGCCAGGGCCGGGCTAGGGCCTAAATATGAGGCCCGTGCAGGGCTCTACATTACTTTGCGATCTAATACTTGTTTAATATTGACCAAGCATCATTTAATTCAAATGTCCACTTAATCTTTAATATTTGGCCATTTCTTTACGACAGAAATGCTATAGCCACTGTAATTAAATGAATATGTGGACATCAAAACGTGTAAACTCAGAGTGAGGGTTTGAGCTTTTATGTTGAAACCGCGAGATGATGTATTCTCCTGAGTGTGCGTGGATTTATAAATGATTTATCTTACAAATCTGATGTAATGGTGCACGTTGCGTTCCCAGATGAACTTTATAATAAACCCAAACTCCCAACAACATGCAGAGATGGAGTTTGAGCCGCTCCACACTAGACTTGTGCCGGTAATCGGTAATGCGATATATCACGGTAATGAATATGCACAGTATTGTTATCGTGGGCTCTTCTAAATACCGCGAATAATTATATATTACAAGTTATTCAGAATTTTGAATGCATTTTAAGAATACTTTTCCCATCAATTGGTCAAAATGCACAACACCGCTGTATGCTGCGTGAAAGACACGTGCACACTCTGATGTAAACAAGCGTGGACGAGAAGCGCATGGCGGAACATGTGAGAGACGCTCTGGATGAAAGCACACTTTCACTCTCTGACAGCAGATGGCGCTAAACTGCAGAAATAATAATAATAATTAATTTAAATGAAACCCTGTAAACAAAGCAGCTGGTCTACTTTCTGTTTCTGAATCGTGTTTAAATGATTTAAACAGCCATTCAGATTTGTGTATTTGCTATGATGTGCATCACAGAGCCAAATACTTAAATATTTAGACTTAATAGGCTATTTATTTTCAAACTTTTTTTACATTTTAATCTGGACTACAATAAAAATTTAAGTTTGGATCGTGCACTTTCACGCCTATGTTCAAAAATGTGAGTGACAGTTAAGGGATTAATATATCATGCAGCCTTGGAAAACAGTCTAATATTGTGTTTTATGGATTCTCGTCCGTGAAATGCGCCACTTCCGGGTATTTTGCCGGTTAGTCGACGCAGGCAAAATGAAGTCGAGGATTTTTAAAAATCGAATAGTCGAATAGAATCGACGAATCGCGACAGCCCTTATGCTCAGAATGAAAAAGATTAACAGAAACCGTATGAATGGAAAAAAACTATAGGCTTATTCTAGGATATTTCACAAGTTACTCTGGAGTATTCTGTGTTTCAGAAATCCCTAAATGATTATACAAACACTAGCTTTACTGCTTATGTTAAACCAGTAAACTAGAGATAGAAGGGGGGCTTTACAAGAAATAAGACAAAGGGTTACATTATATATTTAATCGTTCTGCTGGTTCTTATATGTTAAAATGTTGGGATTTATCTCAAGTTGCAGGCTTCGATTATGAATTGTACTTATGTTCTCAATGTAATTAATTGCAAAAGTCCTTATAAGTTGACCACCAATTAAGTGTTACATTTCTTTCCTCATTTTGTTTGTTCTTGTCTCTGTGCAGACATACTCAGGACTCTTCTGTGTGGTCATAAACCCATACAAAAACCTCCCCATATACTCAGAGAACATCATTGAGATGTACAGGGGCAAGAAGAGGCATGAAATGCCACCTCATATCTACGCCATTTCTGAATCTGCCTACAGATGCATGCTTCAAGGTAAGACCATAACATATATTCCTTCTGATGAACTCTCTCAGTGGCTCCATCTGTTAACTTACAGAAATAACATTTTTGAATTCTGCATTTCCACTGAGGATTTTGCTGTGAAAATAAAGAGGGTGTGTTGTATTTTCTCAATCTTTGTTAAGTGTTAGATGAAGATGAGACCACCACTTTGTTCAAATAAGCAGACAAATTCTCCTCCTTTTGCCGTTTTTTTAGCAGTTCAAGATTTCCTAAACCTTACAGGGCTCTACGCTTACTTTTCTTTTTAGGAGCACTTGTGCTCCTAACTTTAAAATTGTAGGAGCACCTTCTAATCAATAATCCAAAATTTTATCAAAAAGTAGCCTTCCCATTACGAGGTGATATTTGACTCCTCTAACTTTATTAAAATTATTTCATCTTTTGTCAAATTCTTAAAAAAATTATATTTTATAAGCTTTTTAAAAATTGTAATTAAACCGACAGAATAAGAACAAGTAATATAAGTTACCAATCAAATGAAATCAGTATTAACAAAATTAATTTGTAGAGGTGGCACAGAAGAACACAAAAGTTGAAAAGTCAGACATTTAATGAGGCTCAGAGGTGGCATGAGTGCAATTAAATTCATAAATTCATGATGAGATTAATGTTTTAAATATAACATTTTGAATATAGAAATATTAAATGTTTTAAATAGCTGAAAATGTACTTTAAAAATGAAACTAAAACTGCCAGCAGGTGGCGGCAAGTCACTGATTTTATCACTGAATCATTCATTCAATTGATTCATTCGAACAACTGATTCATTCCGGAATGAAGCAAGTGACTGTCTTTATGAATGGGTAATCATGAATCACTGACTCACTAGATTCATTTAAAAACCCCCGTTCATTCATAAACGAAACACCGCAGTGTTTGAATGGAGATGCGCTGTGTCTTTGTTTGAAACTATTTTCGACGACGAAATAGAGCAAGATCAGACAATAGTGTTATAGTCAGACAATCTAAGTCACTTAATATTAACTTCTTGTTTATTGAATTGTATTGTATTAAATAAGTATCACATTTACAAGCTCCCTTAAAAATCATTAAAAGCTGTCACTCATCTTAGTTCATCGCGATCTCACATTATAATCAACGAAGCTCTCTACACTGCGCGATGAATCTCTTATTTACACCCTGTCAACACTTTGCTTATGAAAGGATTCGTGAGATATGTCTGTGATACATTACTCAACGCTGCAAAAACACGTAGAAACCTTTGAAGCTCCCCTGAGCACAATCGCAAATATGATGATGATCGGGTCAGTCGCACTGGTGCTCCTAAAAATTTTTTGATAGTCGCACACAGTAGTTTTCAGTCGCAAATGCGACTGAAATGGTCGCACTGTAGAGCCCTGCCTTGAAGCATAATTTGAACTTACTAGCAGTTTCAGCCAACCTTTAATGTTATTGGCTGTACTTTGCTTCATAGTATCATGTGATGAAGAGCAGCAGAAATGGAATGGTCACTGTTTCCAACGATATCCTATTATATTTCAGTTTGTTTTTCCACTCTGAGAGATAAATTAATTTACTCTTCCACATCTGTTGCTCTCAGATAAGCCCAGAGAACGGAAAGAAAAAAGGGCTGCATTTTTTCATATTTCACTGCAGTGGGCTCGAGTTTTTCTTGTCCGAGCTGTGGATCTGTGCATATTGAAGTGAGATGTGAAAGATAATACATATCATTAACTTCTCCATCAGACACGGTCTTCTTCAGCTGCTACTAAACTACAAGGTTACTCCAGAAGTAATTTATAAGTTTTTAGTTGTGTTGAAAGAGTGCATGAATTAGGGAGTCAGGCTTTTGAATACAATGCTCTGTTGTTTATCATGTTATTGGTTGTGAATATTGAGTATATCTGTCCATCACAGCAGGATATCATACAAAGTAAGACCCATCGCTCCTGTTCTTGAGCAGTTGGAGCTTTTTCAAACCTCTCCTGTGTTTTCTTACTGGTTCTTTTCTCAATGAAGCGCATAGGATTTGGTTGATTCTGAAAGGCAAGATCCGGAGATGTAGTTCTCTGATTCAGTCAACCATAATTTTTTTTCTACCACTGTCATAATCTTTAATTCATCTCTTAGTAAATCTGGGGCAGTTGGATATTGGAGTGGGCAACTGTGCCACAGATTAAGATGGCATTCAGCAGAGATGTTAGTGTGTTACATTACAACTGAATTATTTAATCTTTTAACTCAATTTAATTTTCACTGCATTTTAGAGGTGTTTAAAAGAGTTTATACAATCAATGAACAGCAAATGTAGTCCAGACAACCGTTCTGCACACTGTTTAGTAGGGATGCTCCGATCAATCGGCCGTAGATCGGTATCGGCCGATAACCACATTTTATGACTCGATCGGTACTCCCTAACTTGGCCGATCTCACGAACCGATCGCAATTTGATGACATCAACGTGTGAAGACGTACATGATGCGTGGGGACATAAATGATTTGGCGCCACAGTCATGTCATCGCCAGTGTGGAAATGTTATGACGTTTCGAGAAACAATGAAAAATTCGCTATTTATCGTGTATGTTTTGCATGATGATATGATGAATAGATGGTTCATTTTTAACAGCAGATTCAGTGATGTTAGAGCTGATCTGCTCCTCACTGCACATGTCTGCGGCGCGTTACAGCTCCACGGCTACCGGAGCTGATCGCGGCTGCTCTAGTCAGTGCTTGTGTTTATCAGCCAGCCGCAGCATGTTTCAAAAGCGGCTCTTCGCTCTACTTGGCTAAAAATAGTCTTTTGTGAGTTGTCACAGCGTGGTGGACGGAACAAAACCTCGTCGGAGCTGTAAGGGATAACGGTAACATAATACGCTGATCGTGGGCTGCTTTTAAATGAACATTTATTTATAAAACAAAATATCATCTTTGGCCATATTAGCCTACTCAATAGCTTTAACACAGGCTTTACTCCTTTTAAACTTTATCTGGAATGTCACCGTTTCTGGCACTGCAACTTCCCGATCAGGCGAACGAACACATACACACACACAAAATCGTCTGCCTCATGAAAAAAATGTATTTAAAAAAAATGTAGTTAATATTTGCATAATTTGATTTATTTTATCCACCCGTGACCCACCCGGGAGAAACAGAGGTTTCCCCAGTAACGGCTGTACACAAAGCAGCGCTGAGCTCACAAACGCTGCTTTATCAGGCATATAACATGCAAGATTAAATGAAAATGACATCGAAAATTTTCTAAAGATAGTCTTCCTTCAGAAATACAGTGATATAAAAACACCCACGCCTCGTTTTGATTTTTACACATGCAGTACTTGCTCATGTTTATTTAACGAAGCCTTTTGGAAAATTAGTCAGTTTTGATATTGTGGCGAGCGCCACAAATAAATAAATGTATGGGAAACACATCCCACAGCACAGCCACCTGAGCCCAACTTCAGTCTACTCCTCACCTTAACTTTAACTGCGTTTGTAGCCGGCGCCATAGCCAGACTGATAAACAAACACAGACCGGAAGTTAACGTCGGGCCAATTTAAAACTTTTGAAAAGTTTGGGGTCTGTACAGTATTTTTACTCCGTTTTCTATTTAATTATATTTTAAAATGTAATTTATGACAAAGCTGAATTGTTAGCAGCCATTACTCCATATATTATTCAGGTTTACATGATCCTTCAGAAATCATTCTAATATGCTGATTTGCAGCTCAAGAAGCTATTATTATTATCAATGTTGGAAGCATTTGTGCTGCTTAATATTTGTGTGGAAACTGTGATTAAATTTTTCATGTTTTTGTGATTAGTAGAAAGTTCCAATAAAGAGCATTTATTTGAAATATATTTTTTATAATAATGTGGGAGTCTTTACTGACACTTTTGATCAATTTAATGTGTCCTTGCTGAATAAAAGTAATTTATTTAAAAAAGATCTTACTGACCTCATACTTTTGAATGGTGTAATTATCAGTGTTAATTTTGACAGCTAATTTTGATTTAGTTTTAGTCATAGTCTAGTCTCTTGACTAAAATGCCATTTAGTTTTAGTCATATTTTAGTCACCTGAATTGTTTTGTTTTAGTCGACTAAATATCGTAAGGTTTTAGTCGACTAAATCTACAGTAAATTTATGTCAGCTAAAATCTAATGGGTTTAGTTATAGTATAATGCGTTTATTAAGCATTTCTCCAAAATTTCCAAACTCATTATATAGGTTTGATATTAAGGTTTTATCATGATAGACACCGATTTAACTGCGGTGACGCACAACATACCTTTATGTTAAAAATTAAATAAAACCACTTCTCATAAAGAACAAGAACATGGTCTTCTTTTTAATGAATTGCCAATGGTTATATAGGCTAATTTGTATTTTAATTTGCTACATTTTATGAGTTTTAACATTGGTGAATTTGGTAGTTGTGAACAATCATACAAACTTGGAGTCAAAGTAGTTTGTCCAGGAAATGGAGGAACATTTGCCATTAATGTAATGCTGAATTCCCTACTAAAGCTGACCCTCTCACATAGAAGGACAGGCCAGTTGTCCTGATCTGTCAGAGGCCAGTGAACAAGAGCCGTCCCAGGCTGGGAAGGAGAGGCTGACCTGCATTGTGGGGTACAATGTCGCCTTTGTGTGCCAGTGGTGGTGGGGGCAGTACATACTGTGACGTGCTGGGTCAAGTGTGGCTGGGACACATGGATCCTGGTGTCTGCCTGTGGAGGAAACACCCCTAACAATGCTGCACGCGGCGGAATCATTAGAGCTACAGAGATTACTGCAGTTGAAGTTGTTTACTTTTCCTCTTGAGATGTTTCCTCCGTCATGGCTCCGTTCCAGTTATTGTCCCCGCTCACTTGTGTTTTCAATCACATTTATGTTTGGAAAACACTCTATTACACTCTTTAATCAGAGCACCAAAACTGTTTTTAATTTGTTTTAATCTAAGAATCTGATATGGTATCCTAAGATTAAGTCTAAAGCGTAAC